CAAAATGGAGATCGTTCTTCAGATTCGATATATATAAGAGTAAAGTTTGTAATTGTTGAAAGTTAAATATATATATATATATATATATATATATTTAACTTTCATATATTATATATTATATATTATATATTATATATTATATATATATATATATATATATCAACCTGAAATATATATATATCAGGTTGGTAACGGTAATGTATGGAATTTTCGTGAATTCTTGGCACAGCCTTAGTCTTAAATATTTATCATTGAATAAGTTTACACACTGTTCCGGATTACTTTTAATCTCGCTCACGTATAAATTCTGTCAGGATAATTTACGTACTTTTCTTTTTTTTTTCTCCAAAAGTTATATATATATATGTTGTTATATATGTTTGTTATATAGTTATATAGTTATATAAGTAAATATATATATATATATATATATATATATATTGTTAAAATTAATCATTTTTAGGATAATTATTGTAATTTATATTATTATTTATTTTATTATTTATTCTAATATGTTATATATAATATATAATAATATTTATATATAATATATATATATATATATATGATAACATTATGTATTATAATAATATAAATACATATAATACGATTATATATAGACATATACATATTTTATTACTTCACAGTTTCATTATAAAATAATTAGTTGTAACGTTTTTTTTTTTTTTTTTTTTTTTTTTTTTTTTTTTTTTTTTTTTATTATTTTATCATTTAATTAACGATTAGCTTTGGATAGTATGAAACATACGTTCGAACGTTCAAAAGTAAGAAATACACGTATTACTCTAATCAAGCGAGAGCATTACGAATGGGATATAAATTGCTGGTGACTCAAAACGAGCGTATTCACCTTGAATTTTCTTATGTTGAAGACAATGACCGTTCTTTGAAAACAGTTCAACCATAGTTTTCAACGATGTTACTCTTACGTACACTACGTAATCGCTCTACGAAATCAAGAAGACATTTTCAGGATTTTTAACGTGACCAGAATAAAACCCATTCCTTTTTAAATAATGCAAATGTCATTTTTAACTCCTTCTTTATTTAATACATACAAACATATATATATATATATATTTTTTTTTTTAATCTATAAAAATACATATAATTATATGCGTATATATCTATATGTAATAAAGGATTAAAATAATATTCTAATAAAAAATTTAAAAACATTAATATTATAAATCGAATTAAATGATTATACGATTAGATATTATTATACGTATGTTAAAATAAAAAGAAAAAAAGAGAAAAAAGAACTAAAGAATTCTAACAAAATTCTAAGTTACATCTAATAGACGCTTTTAATCTCGTACAAATTTATTCGTATTAATATATCGTAGGACTTCATCTTTCTATCTTTCTTTCTTTTTATTTACTTTTTTCTTTCTTTCTTTCTTTTTTTTTTTTCTTGTGAAATAGGGAGGAAGGCTGAAGTTATTTCCAACACCCCTTTCTACCACTTTACCCCCTCCTATTTCGGAGACCGCACGGTCCCCGTCTTTGTCATCCTTAACCCTTTCTCTACGACTACCTTTTTTGCTCTCGTCTTAAAAGCCACGCCCCATAGCTCTTGCTCCCCTTTTTTTTCCATTTTTTTTTCTTTCTTTTTCTTTTTTTTTTTTTTTTCTTTTTTCTTTTCTGCGGACCCTGTAGTTCGCCACCGGTCGCGATGAGGCCGGTGGAGTCCTGTTGTTGTGTAGATATCTCCCACCCCTCTGCTCTTCTTCCCCCTCCCTGCCCCCCCCACCCTCCCCCCCTCCCTGCTCTTCTTCCCTCCTGCTCTTCGTTTAAAGCAGTACAACCGTGGAATCTAGGATGGAATGCGACGAAGAACTAACGCTAAATCTTTTATATCCGTTCGAATATATTTTACAAAAGAATGGAAA